GCCCCTCGGGCAGCTCCTTGACCTTGGTGAAGGTTCCAGTCTTGTCGTGGCCATCTATCTCTTTCTTCCTGACCGCCTCCCAGAAAACCTTGTACTTGGAACACATCACATCCTTGTACGTCATCGGTACTGCTTCCACATCACTCGGCTTCTGCCCGATTGGCGAGGTCATACTTAGCTGTGGGTCTGGGAGTGGTTGCGAAGACCCGCTGGCGTCGACCTCGGCCCCGAACGCCTGCTGTTCCGGGCCCAACACCTCCTGCATCTCGCGCCTGTACATCTCCTCCATACGGCGTGTCTGCTCCTGGTCCCACTGCTCCTTCACAAGCGAGTTGCAGATGTAGTCCTCAACAATCCCCGTCCCGCCAGTTTCCAGGATGGTCGCCAGCAATGCCTCTTCCGGGTCCGGTGTTTCTCCGGGCCCCGGCATCTCCCCGGCACCTTGCATCTCCCGGGTCTGCTTCCGCGTGCGGCCACTCTCAAGCCCATGGCGCAGCGGACCAGCGTTCGAGGCGCCCCAGAGGAGTTTCTTCCCTTCTAGCCCGCGGGGGTAGCGGTCGTCGGCTGGATCATACTTCAACTCCTCGAGGTTCTCGGAGTCGCCGGGATCACCACCGCTACCGCCGTCCCCACCTGGGTCGCCGGACTCTTCGCCGCCCGGGCCGCCGGCACCGCCGGCGTCACTGCTGCTGCTGCTCGGGCTGCTGCTGCTGCTGCTGCTGCTGCTGCTGCTGCTGCTGCTGCTGCTGTCGGTGGGGCTGTCACTGCCTCCGCCGAAGTCGCCCCTTCCCGAAGGGGGCGACGGGGGAACGCTGCCTCCGTCCCCCGGAATCCCGTTGCCGGGTGCCGTCGGCGCCTCCTCGCGCACAAACGGCGTCGCTTGCCCTGGCCCACGAGCCTCCATCACGTCGAGGTCGGACTCACTCTCTGAGTCTCTCCCCCCCCCCCAACCTTGGCGTGATGCATCCGCTCTGCGCTCGCCCTCCCCGCCCTCCTCTTCATCTGCGAGAGGTAGCAGCTGCGGGGGAGCGGGCGAGT